ATCCATCTACGTCCTGAGGACCTCGCTGCCACCGTCCAAGCGTGCTTGGCCCCGGCAGATGAACCTCAGGATTAAAGGGTGGGCTCAGTTCCGCGCACACTGTGTCTCACCTAAAAAAATCCAATGCGCAGGCTGGAAGGTGGAAAGACCTTCCCCGGTTCTTCGTTCGCGAAGAGACTGGCCATTAATCTCTTCAGACACATAAGTAAGGCCAGCCGGAGCTGCCCTGGCATACGTAGGAACATATCCATCTTGCGCACAGTAACAAATTTTTTACCATCACCATACCTCTCAGACTCTCAAAAATGAACTTTGACTGTGTTGTGAAAAAATGCTTACCGGTCTGCTATCTCCAGATCAGTATACTGGATGAGAATATGGATTATGAAGATGACTAGAGGCAGTGTATTCAGTTGGCTCTATTACGTTTTTATGATCAACCAAATACTTATTAAGTATGAGAGTGGCCAGAGAGCCCTTTTTAGCAAATGAAAAGTCCAAGTCCCTGACACTGATGCAGTTTTAAATCTCACACAGTGAGATGCTTTTGTCCTGAAGCACCTTACACCTCTATTGCTAATCAGCTTGCCTGGGATCCAGAAGGATCATGTTTAAATTACTAAATCAGTGCAGTACAAGGAGAGTTAGATGAACTAGGTATAGGGGAGCCATTATCTTCTTCTTGCCTTTGCAGATGGAAACTGCGAAGTTCGTAATAAGTACTAATTAGTAATTTAAGAATTTTTAGAATTTTTAGCAATTTAGATTTAGATTTAATTTTTAATTTAAAAATTTTAGACTTTTTTACTTTAGAAGCAAGTTGTTAACCATTTTAAAACTTGTATTTTTTATTTTTCCAAAAGTTCTTGCCAAAACCTGAATACAATTTCATTTCAGTATTTTGAAATGCCACTTTTCAGTAAATAGTTGCCGAAGTATTTCACAGATTTTTAAAATAGATTCCATGCAATGAACTCAGAATTACATGCAGGGACAACCCTTAAATGCAATCTCAGAAAGAACTGTGACAAGTTTAGAGAAGAATTTTGCAGTTCTGTGATTTTCATACAATTGGTTTAGTGAATAAACATATTCCAAAATGCTGTTGCCAAAAGAAAAAATCTTTTTCCCATAAAAGAGAAAAAAAAAAAAAGTCTTAAAAAAGTCTGTGTTCACAGGGCTGAGAATTCTTACTGTGAAAAGCTTTCGTCACCATTTCCAAAACATGGCATATATTTGAAAATGATTGGGTTTAATTACAGTTGACATTTCTTAGCATGCTACTAGTGACTCTAACAGCATACAAACCTATTGTAAAAGTCTTTGCCAGGCTTCAGTGCAGGAACCTTATCATTTTAAAATAATTTTTGCACAGATGTATGAAATAGGACATATTGTTTCACAGATCTGTGAAGGTACTGATTGACTAATTGCTCCAAAGAGAGAAACTTAGACTGGGTCCTTGGATTTCTTGGCAGACACTGTCACTTTAGCTAAAGGAAACTGGTTCATTAGCTTCCAGGGGCCTCCAGTATTTATGGTTTTTTTTAAGATCTCCCTGCTAGTTTTTGCTGAAGTGACAGGAAATATTTTCATTTTTGTCACAGGATCTCAAGGCTCATATGCATGCAACTGAAGCTTAGGCATTGTGATTTACAGTACCATCGTGTTGACACATCAGGTCTTAATTACTTGCATCACTGCCTGATACGTCCTGCACACTGCAAACCTACGCACTTCAGAGATAAATTCTTCAGCTTGGTATCTGTCGAATGCAGCAGAAAGATCAACCTTTTAATAAACACTTTAGAAAGTAATTTTGAAAATAATTTCAAAATATCCTGCAGATGTGAACTCAGAAACTTAACTCATAGTCTCTAAAGTGAAGTCTGCTGAAAAAAAAAAAAAAAAAAAGAAAAAATAATCACTATTGGCCATAAATGTTAATTTTCCAAGGCAGTGGTTACTTAAAAAGCAATTTTTACCAAATAAAAAAGAATAAAAATTGGAAACAAATTTTTAAAATACTCACTGGAAAGTTATGGAATAAAATTCTTTTTTCTTCTGTTAGAAAAAGCTGAAGAGTATTGAAATTAAAGTTTAATTTTTGCCTCATCAGAAATGAAAGAAGATACATCAAAAGAAATATGTCTTGCATGTCAAAATAACAACAAACTATGGGGGTTTTAAACTAATACCTTTGCCT